ACCAAACAAATAGAGAGTAACTATATCACGTGACACGGAGAATTTGAGGCTCGACAGCTTGGCTTGCCAATAACCAGCTTATAAAAAGAAAAGAAAAAAAATTTCTTTACACTAACCATGAGCAAGGTTTGGAGATAAATTAATTCCAGGTTCAAGCATCTGCTGTCCGTACTGCGGTACAAACTTTGATCAAGTACTCTACTGAAGAAAAGCCAAGAAAATTCACTGAAACTGTTGAATTACAAATTGGTTTAAAGAACTACGATCCTCAAAGAGACAAGCGTTTCTCTGGTACCGTTCGTTTGCCAAACATCCCACGTCCACAAATGAAGCTCTGTATCCTTGCCGATGCTGCTCACATTGATCAAGCAAAGGCAATTGCATTGGAGTTCATGTCTGTTGACGACCTCAAGAAATTGAACAAGAACAAGAAGCTTATCAAGAAGCTCGCAAAGAAATACGATGCTTTCCTTGCTTCTGAAGCTTTGATTAAACAAATCCCTCGTCTTTTAGGTCCTGGTTTGTCCAAGGCTGGCAAGTTCCCAACCCCAATTTCCCACAATGACAACTTGGAAGAAAAGATTGCTGAAATCAAATCCACCATCAAGTTCCAATTGAAGAAGGTTTTGTGTCTCGGTGTCGCTGTTGGCCATGTTAAGATGACTGACGATCAATTAGTCAACAACACCATGTTGGCAGTCAACTTTTTGGTTTCCCTCTTGAAAAAGAACTGGCAAAACGTCAAATCTCTTTTCCTCAAGTCATCCATGGGTAAACCAATCCGCCTTTACTAAGGCTTTAAGCAGGCGTTTCACCAAGGTTTTTATTTATAGGAATCATTTGGGAGCTTGAATCTGCTCAATAAACCATTAAAAAAATTTCTGTTGATGTTCTTTCTATAAAGCGACTTTTGCGATTTCACTTTACATGGATTTGGCAACAGAATGTATCTCATTGTGGAATATTCAATTATAATGTTGGTGAGGCAGTTAGTCAATCGCAAGTGCCAAGCTGTCTGGCAAGAACATAATTGTTATTGTGGAGTTGCAGAGGTTCTAGAACGGCATCAGTCCTAATCACAATGGAGGCGTCTCAATGGTGACTAAAACTATTTCTCGAGTTCTGCAAGATACTGCTCGGAAATAAACAAAAAAAGAGATATTTAAAGCCCATCTGTCTGCGCATTTCAGCTACCGGTTTGCTACTAATATATTAGCGTATAGTACTTTCATCTTGATACTGATGGAGATCCCGGATCTGATGGGCTCATCTCAACAGACATGAAACATCAGGATTTGGAACTGAAAATGAAAGACTGTGGAGGAAAAGACTCGCCATCCACTAGTGTTTCTTTATAACAAATTCCTTTCCATTCAGCGTTTCTACCAAAGAATCGAGCAAAAGCTGCTTACCAGTTTGATTTGTGAAAAAAGCCTTAAAATGACAACTATTGGTGCACCATCCGTCCTTTAGCTGCACAAATGAAACTTGAAAAACGGCCAACCTGATTTATAAAGAGGTGTCAAATTACAAGAAGCATTCCGTAATTATGAAATCATCTGTGTTGTCTACACTGTTCCTCGCATACAAAGTCGCTGCTTTGGATATTACAGATTTGCTAGAGTTTGATCGTCCGTTGTTGGAAATCTTGGATACTCAAATGGCACACTCTTTCAAATGCAGACTAAAGCAAAAGCCTGAAGAAGCCGTCCAAGTCTATTTTGAAGGCACTGGTATCAACTTTGAGAACTGCAACTACAATTTCCCAGTTGATTCTTATGACCAATGGCAAACTATCAATATCAACAATGTCCCTGTTTTTGAAAAGCTCAGCGATGTAGATTTCCAAATCAAAGCGCGTTGTTTCCACAAGGGTGACCAAGGTGATCACCATTTACCTTGCCACCGTAAACCTACTTGTGGTGGTACCTGCCAGTCTCACGGCGACCCTCACTTTGTTGATTTCCAAGGATATTCCTTTACTCACCAAGCAGAAGGTACATTTTCGCTTTTTGAACACGAACATCTTGCTGTTCAAGCCATTCAGGGTCCTTGCAACTTTGACGTTTGGCCAAAAAATGTCATGTGTAACCAAGCTGTCGCAATCAGATATGGTTCCACTATTTTAGCTTTGGATGTTCGTGAAAAACACCAAAAAGCTTATGGGATGAAGTATGTTTCAAAGAACACTGACGGTGTTCAGTACAAGGCTCCATCCAAGCAGGATTCTACCCACAATGTCAAGCTCCCATGTGGATCCAGCATTGAATTGATTGTATCCCAAAATAGCAAAGAAACATGGATTGATGTGAACTTGCATATTGCTCCTGGATATGGCGACAACGGCGGTGTCTGCAACAAGCTGGGAACTGATGACGATAATATGTATGGAAAGGACAAGACTTACCAAAAAAATAACATTGATGGGTATGTTTGGAGCTGGAAAGTTGACGACAGTAACAATCTGTTCAACGGACAATGCAAACCTTCCACCCCTCCAGTTACCTATCCTCCTCAAACTTGTACCTGTCCAGACACTCCTGTTCCAGAAAATCCCCCAGTTGTACCGCAATTGCCTCCTTACACCCAATACATTCCCCCACCTGCCCAAACCACTACTGTGCTCACCACCACTGTTGTTCAAACCACTACCATCCCAGCTACTACAGTTCCAGCTACTACCAATCCAGCTACTTCTGATATTCCAAAGACTGTTGCCACTACTGGATACGGAAACACACAAACTGATGTTCCAAACACTACTCCAGTTACAAGCGATATCGCTCTCACTGTCCCTGCAACTACTACTACTATCCCAGCTGTCGTTGTTGTCCAAACCACTACTGTTGTTGTTACTTCCACTGTTGATGTTACCCCACCTCAGCCAACTGCCACCATGCCAGCAAACCCATACTACAATGACCAAATCAACTCATACTGCTCCAACCTGTTCAACATTCCTGGATGCTCTTCAATCTCCAACACCACCAACTACGTTACTGCTTGTGTCGCTGATGCCCTATCTTCTGGCTCCTTGCAATTCTCTGAAGCTTCCAAATTGGCATACTTGGCTCAATGCAAAACTTCTACCAACTACATGATCAACTATCCTGCACCTCAAGTTCAACAACAAGGCCACGATATTCAAAAGACTTGTGGATTAGGAAACAATACCTGTGCCAACAACTGTGGTGGGCAAGGTGTTTGTGGTGCTAACGGTTGCAGATGTAACCCAGGGTACGGTGGTCTTGACTGCTCAACTGATTTGACAAAGATGATTTCATACAACCCGCAAACTGGGTCATACAGCGACCAGACTCCGTCTAACGTCTATCCGGTCCAAGTTGTTAACTCTCCAACTGCCAGTAACACTACCGGTGCCTATGAAAGCCAAGATTCTCCTTCAGGTGCTGGTAATGAAGGGTATGGCAATGCAGTCACATCCGCTGTAGCTGTACCTGTCAATACTGGTGCTGCTCCTATTATTAGCAGCGCATTTGCTGCACAAGTTTCATCTGCCTTTATCGCATTAGCAATTGCTTTGGCAATGTAAAAATAAATCTATATGTACTAGTATATTTCATGCCGCTTAAATACCTTAAGGTCGAAATGACTCGACTGGTGATTTTTCCATAATTTTTCAAATGAATTTGATTGATGATTGGGCATTGCAACAACTACGGGCTCTAAACACCTTTTATTCCGACCAAGATTTAAAGGAAATCGCACAGCACGCACTCTCATTACAAAGACATGAAATCAAGCCGTATTTCAGCTCAATTCTAGAACCATCTCCTCAACTAGACTCTTTTATTCAAGCATTTACCAACAAAAAGTTTCCAAAATCAACATCCAATTGGGTTAATCCTACTCTGATATTACAAGAAGTGCTGGATTTAAGTGCCGATGAAATCAAGCAAATTATCGATCACGGAAAATCACTGGAATCCAAACAACAGCTAGAGTATTTCACAGATTTTGTCGGTAAAGAAGCTGCACTTGCGATTATAAAATCGTTCAAATCATTTGGGAGAAACACCAAACCAGCTCCAGCTCAAAACCAACCGACACAAAAGAAGGGAAACCCCAAGGACAAGAAAACAAAGATGGAAAAGGTTGGAAATGCACCAGACAAGAACGGTAAACCAGTATGCGAATGCATGGCAACTGCACATCCACTAGTGACAAACTGCAAATCATGCGGTAAAATCATTTGTGAATATGAAAAGGAATGTCAATGCAATGACCCAGTGTATACAACCCAGGCAACAGAAAAAGCAACCACAAACCTCAAGAAACTGGTTGATTTCGACAAGAACTCTGCTCAACGAACACGCGTAGTTGACTTGAAGAGTGATTTTGATATGTACGCTGGAATCAATGATAAGTGGAAAGACAATGGTGAGAAACAGCAGATAAAGAACAAGATTGCTCGAGAAGAGGGTAAAGTTGAAAGAAGGGTTGTTTCGCTGTCTATTGGCAAAGGCAACGTTGCTGTTGATCACCAGGTAGAGTATGAGTATACTGAACCAGAAAAAGCAGGGCCAGAGCCAGCAAAGATTAAAGTAGAAGAGCAAAGGGTGTTCAAGAATCCGTACTTGAAAAACAAACCTAAATTCGTTTCTGCAGAACCCAAAAAGTACAAGGTGCTGGATTACGGCGATTACGATTATGATTTTTAATATATTTAACCTGGCACTCTTTGTTTTTGGCTGAAAGTGATTGCTCATATAATTGGAACTGGTAGTCTTACGATGAGTGTGCTTTGTAATAATAGAGCCAAGACTCTGTTACAGTTAGCAGTTCACTGATTAACCAATAATATCATTGAATGCCAAGGAACGCGAAGCTATTGGTACACACTGAAACTGAAGCGTAAAGCCAAGATAGAAAGGTGGCACCGTCGAACCTACTAATAAATCCCTTTAAATTCATTTTTGGTTCCTCACTGTCGACTAAAATTGCAACTATTAAACAAACCAAAGATTAAATACAAAAAATGCAACAGCCGGGAATCGAACCCGGGGCGCACGCTTGGAAGGCGAGCATGTTACCTCTACACTACTGTTGCTCTGCCATCTTTATAGCATACCGGTTTGCAACACAAAAACAGCAAATCTACAATATATTTACACTAGCTTCTGAGATACAATCTAATCCAATAGTAGACTTCTTCACAAGTAATTTCAATCCTGTACCCCAGCAAATACAACACCTGCCTCTCCATCAAATTCAAATCGTTCAAATTAAACCGAGAATAATCAGCCCAGACAATATTCTTTAGGGGAGTATCAGAAACGTATTTTTCACTGATTACTAAACACGCAACCAGGATCCTATGCGATGTTGAAGGTATTCCTACCATTCCTTTGATTTTCTTTTTTAGCTTTGACAGGATTACGAGCGAGATGAATAGGGTTGGCGGCGATATGGGGAGGGTTTGGATGTACGGAAGGGTATTGGCGTTGAAGAATGTTTGGAGGTATGTGGATAATAAAAGGTGCATGCGGGCGTCTATTGGTCGATTGAAGACGGTGGATATAATTGTATTCATCAGTGACGTTATTTTTTGTTGGGTTTTAATTGTTTTTCTCGCTATTATCATCTTCATTATTCTATTATTCATCGCACAATCGCAAGTTTCCATTGATTCTGTTTGGCTGTCAGCATGTCTGAGTTGAGTGTAAGATACAGGGAAATTATACACCTTTTCAATATTGCTGTGAACAACAGTCATTTTGGGACGACTAAAGGCTTTTACTCCAATAGTATTTTTCCAATCTTTTTGAATGCAAGTATTCACTGAATCACCTTTGCAAGAATATGGAGTCAGTAATAACCAGCCATGCTTTCTATTTCATCAAAAAGGAACCCAAAATGAAGTAATTTATCCTCCCATTGTCAATGAAATCAGTGTTCAGGGAGACTTTACAGTGTATGATTTGATTGGGTTACTTGTTGTTCAGAACTCTACTGGAATAGTTGGAGGTAGAGAATACACTATTGTAAAGTGTAATGGAATATGCTTGGTCTCACCAACTACCAAAATCACTTTTACCAGTAAAAATTCCATATTCACAAAACCAAATCCTCCTATACACAATGAGCGCACCGTAGATACCAGTTCCAATCCAGAGACGCCAACAGGGATTATGGAACTCGACAAAGCAATCAATGAATACAAGTCTCCACTGTTAACAGAAATAGAACTGAATTATAGAATCAAAATTATAAAACAAATTTATATAGAGTACCAACTGTATCAAAGAAACAAACAACCAAAAACTATAGTAATCCATGGCCCTCCAATGACTGGAAAAACATTTCTGTTGAAAACAATTCTGTCAATGTTTCCCCATATTTATATAAACAAACTGATAGACACTGAAAAATTGTACGCAAACACATTACATGAACCAATTGCATATGGAGTCGATGTGGATCTAGAAATGCAGGGATTTGTGATTACAACAAACACTGAATTGAACCCAACTTTTAAAATCAGCATGAACAAAACTTTTCAAGATTGCATTACCGAACAGCAAATACAATTACAATTGAAATCGCCTGTACAATCAACAAAACTTTTGTTCAAGGACTTGTATGGAATAGATAAATACATTCAGGAAATCAAAGAGTTGGTTTTCAAGGATATACCGAAAGGAATGCTGATTTATGGTAAACCAGGAACAGGCAAAACCACACTCGGAATAGCTGTAGGCAATGAACTAGAGCGGTTCGGACTCAAGCCACTATTTATCTCTAGTACAGATCTCATATCTAAAATAACTGGGAAAACCGAAGAAAACATTACCAATTTATTCAAACTGCCCAACATTTGTTTAGTCATTGATAATTTTGAGAATATTGGGAAAAGAAATAATAGGATCTTGCACTGTTTTCTTAATGAAATGGATGGGATCAAAACCAGTAACGTGTTTGTAATTGGAATTGCAAGTGATATTAAATTGATTGATCCTGCGTTGATTAGAAGGAAACGCATTGATGTGTATATTGAATTGAATGATGTTGACATTAATCATTTGGTAACTGGGCTGACTAGGAATATGCCTTTTGGGTTTGATGTGGGTCAGGTTGCTGACGGGTGCCAGGGGAAAAGTGCTGGCGATGTTGTTGGGCTGTTGCATAGTGTGTCTATGGATTGCATTCGGAAGGGGAAAGATGTGATTGAGTGGAGTGATTTTGAGCCTTATATCTAATATTTCATTCTCGAATATTCGAATTGCATTATCACTCAAAAGTATCTACAAGCTTCGCAAACCCGCATCTTTACAGAGATATTATTTACTAGCACTCTTATTTCGAGCATAATAAATCCGCATAGTTTACGGCTGGAAGATCAATACCTTGACCGCACTGATTTACAAAAAAGTAAATCACCTGTATATCCAAGCTTAAATAAAAACGCACAGATAAAATTAACGTATCCAAAGATGGAAAAGGTAGCGTAAATCGGCGGCGGACTAATGATCCTGAAATATCATCCGTTCTAGTACCGACTGATTTTCTTTTTTTTCTGTCTGCAATCCGCATCCAAAAATAGGAACCCTTATTCCAATTATTTTTTTTCTTATTTATTATTTTCAGGGAACCCGAAAATATAAATACGCTCTGGTTTTAGTCCAAACCTAATGCTCGCTTTATTATTGCAATCCGTTTCCGCGCAGAGTTACCTGACTTGGTACTCTCCTTCACCATTCCCATTTTCTGGGTACTGTGCCCTTAATTTAAACGGTCCAACTGATTATTACGTGTCCATGTCTTCAAATGTCGCTGATTATAATCGTTGTGGACAGTGTGTGCAGATCACTTATAATGGCAAGACTGTCGTTGCTCCATTCGTTGACAAGTGTGCAACTAACTGCCATGGCGGGGTTGCTGACTTGGACGTATCGCCAGCAATCTTTTCATTGCTTAGCAACACTGGTGATTTATCACAAGGGGTTTTGAATAACCCTGTGTGGAGTTATGTGGATTGTCCTGCTGGATGGACCTTTTCTTACAGCGGCCAAACACCTGGTGCTAAAGGTTATCAGATTGCTAGTATTGTCAATACCGGAAGAAATCCTGTAGGTGTCCCTGCTAGTGTTCCAGCCGCTTCTGGCTCTTCTGGATCATCTTCTGGAAACTCACAGGGATCTAATATTTGTCCAGGCAGCGGAAAGAACTGTGGTGCCGGATGTTGTTCACAATATGGATACTGCTCTAATGATGCTGCAAAAACTGATGCTAATGCTGTATACTGTGATCCAGCAAATAAGTGTAATGCACTCGCTGGTACTTGTTGGGCTGCTTCTGGTACATCAACTGGTACAGGTTCCACTGGAAATACTGGAGGCAATTCAGGTAGTAACTCTGGTGGTAGCTCAACTGGAACTGGAATATGTCCAGGCAGCGGAAAGAACTGTGGTGCTGGATGTTGCTCACAATATGGATACTGCTCTAATGATGCTGCGAAAACTGATGCTAATGCTATATACTGTGATCCAGTAAATAAGTGTAATGCACTCGCTGGTACTTGTTGGGCTGCTTCTGGTACATCAACTGGTACAGGTTCCACTGGTAATACTGGAGGCAATTCCAGTGGTAGTTCGACTGGAACTGGAATTTGTCCAGGCAGCGGAAAGAACTGTGGTGCTGGGTGTTGTTCACAATATGGATACTGCTCTAATGATGCTGCAAAAACTGATGCTAATGCTGTATACTGCGATCCAGTAAATAAGTGTAATGCTCTCGCTGGTACTTGCTGGACCTCATCTACTGGATCAAGCGGCAGTGTTGTTGGATCAGCTCCACCAAAAACCCCAGTAAGCGATGTTCAAGGATGTTCCTCTTCAGTCTACTCTTTCTGTAGCACCGATGGTACTTACTTTTCCACATGTAACTGGGGTCAAGTTGCCAGTGTTGTTCAGTGTTATGCTGGTACGCACTGTATTAATGTTGCCGGTGGATGGGCTATGTGTACCTACTAGATTATTTAATTTATCATATGGTTATTGTTTAGATAAAAGTATTTGTTTCATTACTCGCTTTGTTTTGCTAAGAGCGTATCTATTCTCGAGTAAACGAGCTTTGGTACTGCAAGGTCAACGCTTGGACCAGAACATTATCCTTGTACTAGCATGGGTGATATTGAAATCGCCCTTATCGCAAAGACAGGCAATGCAAAAGATCAACCAATTTCACAACCAAGCTTTTCCAACCACTAAATTGGTGGTCAGACCTCCTTTGGCCTCTCCAGTACAAACACCGGCTAGTCCCAACGGCAACAAATACTCAATCTCTGTGATCGACTCATTTTAATCTGGGCTTATCCAGTTCACAAAATCGGCGTTTTTTATTGGTCGGGTTTCCGTTAAAGCTTACTTTAAACACGAATATTTTTCACCACACGCCATAATGATCTTATCAGACAACAATCATTCATCTATTAATCCAGTTATATCCGAACCGGTTGATACCTCAATTGCGATACTTTTGCTAGTGTCGTTACTATACCTGACTATATTTTCCAGCTATTACTTGCAAAAGAAACGAATCAAGTTTATACACGAAACAGTGGTTGCTCTAGGGTCAGGTTTGGTTGTCGGATTAGTAGTGCGATTGCTATCAACGACAAATCCGAATATAATGGAAAAGGTATCCTTCCAAGAGCAGTTCTTTTTCAACGTATTGATACCACCAATCATTCTAAACTCTGGGTTTGATATGAATAGAGTAATTTGTACTAATGTAGCAAAGTTTTTTTGAAAATATTGGATTGATTTTGACGTTTTCGGTTTTAGGAACTTTTATATCCACGTTTATCACAGGGTAAGGTTTATTTAACAAGTTCTCTGCTCTACCTTGGAGTAACTACGTTCCTGTCGCTTCACCTTGATTTGCTGGATTGTATGATTGTCGGAGCAATTATTTCATCTACAGATACTGTGTCTATTCTGTCAATCTTTCACCAATTGCAAGTTGATCCGAAGCTGTTCTCTATTATCTTTGGGGAGAGTGTGTTGAATGACTCTGTCGTAATTGTCCTAGTTTCGTAATTTTCAGACT